GTTAGTAGCCAAACGCTTAACCACTGCATCACCAGGGCCCCCTTCCTTCCACGGGAATGTATTAAGTACTTGCTATGTGAAAGGCACTCTTCCAGACATCAAGCTGCAGCAGTGAATAAACCAGAGAAAACTCCAGACCCCATTATAATGGGCAAAAGTAGAGGTGAAACAAAATACATGAGTAAATAAGATCATATCTGTTCTTACAAGCAGCGCAGTTTGTGGTACTTTGTTATGGCAGCCCTAGGAAATAATTAGACCCCTACGGTCTACTCCTCTCCAGCCCCCGTGATCTTCTTGCTGTTCCCCTAACACTCCAGGTTCACGCCTGCCTCAGGGCCTTTGCACTTGCCCTTCCCTATGTCTGAAATGCTGTTCCCCAAATATGCCTGTAGTGCTCAATAAACTCCCTAATCACCTTGCTTTAAATGGAAACCCCTTTCCTCCCTCCTAGAGCCCCTAAACCCCTTCCCTGCTTTGTTTTTCTCCATAAAACTCCTATTATATTATTTGACTAAATAAGTAAATATAAAACATCCATTGCCATCAAGTCGATTCTGACTCATGGTGACCCCCTGTGACAGAGTAGAACTGCCCTATACAGTTTTCTAGGCTGTAATCTTTAAGGAAGCAGACTGCCACATCTTTCTCCCAAGGAGCAGCTGGTTGGGTTCAAACTGCCAATTTTTTGGTTAGCAGTTGAGCGCTTAACCACTGTGCCAACCAGGGCTCCTTAGTAGATACGATACCTGTTGCCGTCAAGTCGATTCCAACTCATAGTGACCCTATAGGACAGAGCAGAACTGCCCCATAGGGTTTCCAATCCTAGTGGATTCAAACTGCTGACCTTTTGGTTAGCAGCTGAGTTCAAATACAATACCATGTCATAATTTTATTAATCAATTGTTTATTAATTTTATTTATCACTTAATAAAATGAATATTTATTACTTTTATTTACCAATTATTAAATCAATTCTTTATCAAATTTATTATTAAATTACTATTAATTGATTTTTAATCAGCTAATAAATTAATTAATTACTAACTTATTAAATTAAATTTAAATAGCCCCATGTGGCTAGTGGCTACTGTATTGGAAAGTGCAGGGTCATACTATAAACCTGGGATTATTTTTGAAGCTTCCATTCAAGTGTGAGGAAAGAATAAAAAATTACCACTTAAGGGAAGCTCAAATGAGGATGAATACAGATAGAAAGAGAACTTGGAGAAAGAGCAAATAAATAAAAGCCAGTTGCTTTCGGGTCAATTCCCACTCATGGCAACCCCATGTGTGTCAGAGTAGAACCATGCTCCATAGAGTTTTCAGTGGCTCATCTTCAGAAGTAGATCACCAGGCCATTTTCTGAGGTACCTCTGGATGGACTCGAACTGCCAACCTTTTAGTTTGCAGCTGAGGATGTTAACTATTCACACCACTCAGGGATGCCCTGAGAAAGGGCAAAAACAAAAACAAAAACCCGTTGCCGTCAAGTCGATTCTGACTCATAATGACCCTATAGGACAGAGTAGAACTGCCCCATAGGGTTTCCAAGGAGCACCTGGTGGATTTGAACTGCTGACCTTTTGGTTAGCAGCAGTAGCTCTTAACCACTGCACCACCAGGGTTTCAGGGTGGCTTAGTTAGATAGAATGGACAGAGAAGAAATCTCTTATGGAGAGGAGGTCCCAGGCTGGTCTCCACAGGGTTCTTCCTCTGTCTGAGGGTGGAGACAAGCACACAGGGGGCTTATCAGGAAATTCCCCATGGGATCAGTACCTGGGAGGGGAGGATGCTCCTCAATTGAGGGTAATGAGTGAGGGGCAGTGGCAGGACACAAGGTAAGAGAAGTAAGCAGGGGCCTCATTTTGCAGGGCCCCGTAGGCCATAGAGGATTCCCTGGGTGCTGTAAACATTGGGTTAAGGACTCAACTACTAACCAAAAGGTTGGCAGTTCAAACCCACCTAGAGGCATCTCAGAAAACATGCTTGGTGATCTGCTTCCAAAAGGTCAGAGCCTTGAAAACTCTATGGAGCAGTTCTACTCTGCACACATGGAGTCACCGTGATTCAGAATCGAGTTGAGAGCAGCTGGTTTGGTTTTTGGTTGGTAAGCCATGGTGAGACCATACCTTAATGACTTTGCTGGCTTATTCCAGGATGTGAGTGTAGAGGGTTGAATGGTGTCCCCCACCAAAAGATATGTTCACCCGGAACCTGTGAATATGACCTTATTTGGATAAAAGGTCTTTGCAGATGTAGCTAAGGATCTCGAGGTGAGAGTCTCCCGGACTACCTGGATGAGCCGCAATTTCAATGACAAAGGTTTAATACATACCCGCAAATGATCCACGCAAGTCTGTGATTCCCCAGAAAGACAGAGCAGGCTGCAATTTCTCACAAGGGTCCCTGGGCTGAGGATCTTGTCTCCCCTCCCTGAGACTCACCAACCTAGCCATACATTCTGATCCCTCCCCATATCTCTTATTCTGTTGTTATTGTTGTGTGCCATCGATTCCAACTCATGGCAACCCTATACGACAAAGTAGAACTGCCCCATTGGGTTTCCAAAACCAACTTCCGTCTCATTCTCCCTCGGAGTGGCTGGTGGGTTCAAACCGACAACCTTTTGGTCAGCAGCCGAGCGCTTAACCATTAAGCCACCAGAGCTCATTTTCTCTCATTCTAAGAAGCGGAAATGGCAGTCCCCAGAGTTAATTCTGGACTCTTTTATTGGAGGTTTTGCCACATTTTCCCTCTGTTCTTGACAAAGAACCAAGTGATTAAACAAGACGGTGGAGAGGTGCTTCTAAAGGTCATTAGCTAAGCTTGGAAGATGCAATGTGAAAGACGAAGCAGGTTCCAGACTCATGTGGAAGTCTTGTTCTGAAGATGCTTTTCCTCCCCTTGAAAACAAAATCAAAGGCCAGCGTTAGGTAATGAGCATGCACTGGCTTCAAATGGAGTGCAGGAGGGAAAAAAAGCAATTTTATACTGGTTTTCAAGACTCAACTGGACGTAAGATAAAGCAGTTTACCGTAGTGTTGTTACACATACTCCCTCCCCTGCCTGGCTCTTGTGGTTGGTCTTAGGTGCCATCCAGTCGATTCTGACTCATGGCTCCCCCCGTGTGTTACAGAGTAGAACTGCCCCATAGAGTTTTCATGGCTGTAATGTTTTTGCTGTTGAGAATATACACAGCAAAACATACACCAATTCAACAGTTTCTGCCTGTACAATTCAGTGACATTGATTCCATTCTTCGAGTTGTACAACCATTCTCACCCTCCTTTTCTGAGTTGTTCCTCGGCCATTAACATAAACTCACTGCCCCTGAGTTTCCTATTGGATCTTTCGAGTTGCTGTTGTCAATTCGATCCCATATAGATAGTCCTTAAAAGAGCATAATGCTCAAGGTAGATATTTTTCACTAGTTAAGCTGACTGTAATCTTAATGAAAGCAGACTGCCAGGCCTTTCTTCTGTGGTACCACTGGGTGGATTCAAACCATCAACCTTTAGGTTAGCAGTCGAGCGTAAACTGTATGTGCCATCTAGGGACCTCTTAGAAGGAAGTACTCAAAAAATAAGCCCCTCAACCTCACCTCTGTTATAACAGGTTTGGTGGGAGACGGGCCTGCAAGAAGACATGGTTCTGTTCTGATGGATAGAAGTTGGAGGCTGAGTGCTAAAAATGTCCTTAGTCTTAGCCATAGACAGGGGAGCACTGTGGGTGTTTCTTTAATATCCATTTTGTTAAGGTGATACCCAGAGTCCTAAACCCATTCCTTTGCCTCTCCTCTGCTTGGAGATGTTAATTTTCAAAGCTGTTGTTGTTAGGTGTCATCGAGTCAGTTCTAACTCATAGCAACCCGATGTACAACAGAACGAAACACTGCTGGGTCCTGAGCCATCCTCACAATTGTTGTGCTTGAGTGCATTGTTGCAGCCATTGTGTCAACCCATCTCACTGAGGGTCTTGCTCTCTTTCGCTGACCTTCTACTTTTCAATTTTCAATGCCAACCCATAATTCAGAAAGTGTCACTAATTTGGTGCCATACATAAGCCAAAAGGAGACTTGGTGGTGCAGTGGTTAAGCACTCAGGCTGCTAACGAAAGGACAGTGGTTTGAACCCACCAGCCACTCCACGGGAGAATGATGTGGCAGTCTGCTTCCGTAAAGATTACAGCCTTGGAAACCTATGGGGCAGTTCTACTCTGTCACATGGGGTCACTATGAGTCGGAACCAAATTGATGGCACCTAACAACATAGGTGATTACAGTTAGCCCAGGTGAGGAGCCAGAAGACTAGAAGAAAAGGAGAGATGGAATTGGTCCAGAGGAGATAGCTGATGATTTGGGGGGCTTAGGTGGGGAAAGGGCCAAAGTGACAAGGAAGAGAAGAACCCAATCTTTTTCATGGTTGGCTCCTCTATCACAGGGGTGATGGGTTGACCAAATGGTGCCATGGTTTTTTGGGATCTGAGAAGTCTCCAGTGTCCCCTTTTCCAGTTTGTCTTTTCATATCACACTCCAGTTTGAGAAGTTCCACCTCCCTGATCTCTCATATCCAAAGCTTCCCAGACATGGAGCTTGGAATGGTATCTTTCTGGGACTGGAAGAGTTTGCCCATTCTCCCTTCTGCAGTCCTGCTTGATGGAGAAATCCCAGTTTCTTCACTTTCTAATTTCAGAAGTTGTTCTAATCTCCCCCCCACCCCCGCCAACACTTTATCTCTGGGAAATGGAGTCCACCTTGTTGAGAGCCGCAGCCAACCAGTTATGCTGGAAGGAATAGATAGCACCTTTGCATCAGCACTGCACCCACCTTCACACAAGCAAAGCACCCAAGTGTATTTTTCCTAATCTCACCTTACATCAGCGCTGCACTCAGGTGTGGTACCTGATCTCACCTTCACATAAGCAAGGTACCAAGGTATGGTACCTGATCTCACCTTCACACAAGCAAGGCACCCAGGTGTGGTACCTGATCTCACCTTCACATCAGCAATACACCCAGGTGTGGTCCCGGTCATAGTTGTAAGAGGTTGCACACCACAAAATCTTCTCTTCTGATCCTTTGGTAGTGCAGTTGAAATAATTTTTGTTTTTATAGTTAAATGGGAAATGACAGGGAGGGCCAAAAACCATTGCGGAGATTCCTAGGGAGAAGAAGGGGATGAAACAAAGATTACTCCAGGGTCTTCCACACTATGGTGACTTAGGCATCAGAGCCCACCCTAGATCAAAATTGAGTCAACATGGTGAATGGTTGTGTGGTTGGAGCCCTGCTCAGAGGCTCCAGTGGAGCGGGGAAATGTCATGCCTGTGGTGCCCTGAGCTTTGTTGTAACTCATCTATTTGGAGGGGGCACCTGTTAGTAACGTTCACAAAGGCGTTGTCCTTTGGATCTTGTCTTAGTTATCTAGTGCTACTGTGACATAAATACCCTACGTGGGTGGCTTTAAGTAGCAGAAATTCATTTTCTCATAGTTTAGAAGGCTAGAAGTCTGAATTTGGGCACTGGCTCTAAGTGAAGGCTCTCTCTCTCTGTCCACTCTGGGGGAATAGCCTTGTCTCAGCTTCTCTAGCCCTGGTGTTCCTTGGTTATCTCCATGTGGCATCTACCTTTCCCTCATTTCTGCTTGCTTTTCTGTGCCTAATCTACTCTTTTTTAATATCTCAAAAGGTCAAAAGGGGGAAAATGTAGAACAGAATTTAAAATTCTCATGGAATCCAGACTTTCTAGAGACATGGAGGTTGGATGAACCCCCAGAACTATTGCCCTGCAATAATCTTTAAACCTTAAACTAAAAATATCCTCTGAAGTCTCTTCTTAAAACCAAACAATAGTTTAACTTCACTAGCAAAATATGTCTGACTTGTACCAGACTTAATGGTCTGACTAAGACTGGAG